TCTTTGCTTCTTACCCACAAAAAATGACACAGGGATGCCAAAGACGCCAAGGAAAGCTCTGGAACTCCAGCAACCATGCCAGTAGAAGGTGTTGATCCAAGGGCTGGAGCCCCTCTGCTCTGGAGCCAGGCTGGGAGAGCTGGGGGTGCTCACCTGGAGAGGAGAAGGCTCCAGGGACACCTCAGAGCCCCTTCCAGGGCCTGAAGGGCTCCAGGAGAGCTGGAGAGGGACTGGGGACAAGGCATGGAGAGGCAGAATGGGGGAATGGTTTTTAACTGATAGAGGGCAGGGATGGATGGGATATTGGGAACAGGGAATTGTTCCCTGTGAGGGTGGGCAGGGCTGGCACAGGGTGCCCAGAGCAGCTGTGGCTGCCCCTGGATCCCTGGCAGTGCCCAAGGCCAGGCTGGACATTGGCGCTTGGAGGAACCTGGGATGGTGAAAGGTGTCCCTGCCCATGGCAGATGGTATTTAAGATCCTTTCCAACCCAAACCACTTCATTCCATTCTATTTCAAGGCAGCACCAGGAAGCAAATGAGGAGAACACAGCCCCAGGGATGAGCAGGGTGTCAGGCACTGGGATCCCGCCTGCTGCCGAGACAAAAGCCTTGGAATTTCCAGGCGTGTTTGTCCCGTGCAGGGCCATCACCTGCAGTAAATAAAGCAGCTTTCCTGAGCAGAGAGCAGGTTATGATGGATGAGGCGTCAGCTGTCACTGCGGCCACGGCCCAAGTGTTGGAAATGCCATTATGGAAGTGCTCATAAAAGCTCAGCAGGGCTGGGAAACCCTGCCTGCTGCTGCTCTGCCTTCCTGCTGCACACTGGGCCTGCTCTGCTGTAAAACATATAAAGAGGTGCCTTAATAGGAAAACAGGTTTTTGGTATACACAGAAATCTTTATGCAGCAGAGCTGGAGGTGCTGTTTACTCGCAGGAGCTGAAGTGGTGGATGAGCCACAGACTCCAGGTGCAGAGCTGAGGCTGAAACAGCCCTGGAAGTGCTGGTGTGAGGCAGAGGAACCAGTGGAACAAACAAATCCCTGTGGCCTGCTCCCTGGAGAGCATTTCAGCAGCCCAGCTCTGCTCTGCTCGCCCAGAGCTGGGAGTGTGCAGTGCCTGGGTCTGCTCCTCCTGAGAGCTCCTGGTCCTGTGCTCAGCACCTTGGCTGTGAGGGGAATGAGGGGTTTGTCTTTACATACCAGCTGTGGGTCTGCTGGGAGATAAAAGAAACAAAGGGAAGGATTCCACTGATTGATGAAAGGAAAATATATATTTACTTTTACAAATAGACTTTAGGTTTAAACCAGCTCTGGGTCTGCTGGGAGATAAAAGAAACAATGGGAAGGATTCCACTCATTGATGAAAGGAAAAATATATTTACTTTTACAAATAGGCTTTAGGTTTGCTGATAAATGAAACTGGACATTGAAAGATGAAAGAAACAATGGGGGAGAAAACCCCCTAAATTTTGTAAGAATTAAAAATTAAAAGGGAGGGTTCTACATTAGAGGGAAATCTCTGGTATCAGGCAGAAGGTTTCAGGAAGTCTGTACCTCTCAAGTACCTCAGCCAATGGGGAAAGAGAGAAGGGCGATGAGGCTGGGAAACTGGGATAAAAAGGAGGCTGCGTCCCCAAAAATTGGAGAGACCCCAGGGGAATGCCCCATGGCCTCTCCCTTTATTCGAATAAAGTGAAAGGACTCCTCTGTCTCCTTTTTGGACACAAACCTCTGGTGTTTGTGAATTAATTTTCCTAACAGCTGGGAATACAAAGTGAAAGGACTTCTCTGTCTCCTTTTTGGACACAAACCTCTGGTGTTTGTGGATTAATTTTCCTAACAGCTGGGAATATCACACCAGAGCTATTCCCAGCTCTCCTGCCAAGGACTCACCTCCCAGTCCTTACCATGCACACCTCTTCCTAAAAAACCCAAACCCCCACTTCTGCCAGCAGCTTTTGTTGGCAAACCAGAGACAATGCAAAGATCCTTTGTGATCATCAGCACACCTTGGTTCTGGAGCTTCTGTTTTGAGTTTTGGGGCATCTCACTCCTACCCCAGCCCTGCCAGCAAGACAGTGAGTGTCACATTAATAGCCACAGCTTTGTGGCTGCACTCCTGGGAATAACACAGCAAGCAGTGTGTCCTTGTGTATTTCCCAGGATGCTTTAATTTGTGCTCCTGGAGACAAATGATGCCTGAAGTTGCATTTTGTAAGCCCAGCTTTGTGAGGTTTTTGGTCTGTTCTTCTCTAAGTGCAGGTCTAACATCTTCTCCTTCAAACTGGCTGTCCTCTGTAAACCAGCAAGTGCCTTTTTACCTCGCTGGCCTTCCAAAACATGCAATTCAAATGCCTGACTAAGGCCCTCGTGGCTGAGCTCTGGGCTCCCAGTTCAAACGTGGAGCAGTGTCTATAAAACTTTTTATATCATCTCCAGTAATATTAGAATCATATTCCCCTGACCATCCTTAGGAAAACAGCTCTTGACACACTACTGGGATGAAAGGAGGGGAACACATGGTATCAGTAAAAAGGGAGTTAACAGAGCATTCCAAGCAATAACATTACTCTACACGGTGTAGCAACAAGCCAAGAAGTAATAATTATTGGGACTAAGTGGAATCCAGAGGTGCCCCCAGCGCTGCACTGAGCTCCTTTCAGTGCAGGAACCTCAGGCACTCAGTCCATAACAGCCAGTCCCACTGTCAGTATTGAAAAGGTGAATGTGGCCTGATTTAAAGCCTCCCTTTTCCCCAGGGATTTGTGCCAGGGCTGCTGAGTGGGTTTGGAGGTGTCCAGGAGGCCAAGCCCAGTGGGGCTGGAACTTCCTTCCACTGGCAGATCCCTGTGGCTGGCTGAGATCCTCATCCTGGGCTCTGCTGGGCACCCCAGGGCCTCGTCCTGTTTCTCTGCTGGCTGTCCCCAGCAGGACCAGCCCCTGGAGCAGGAGATGCCCCTCAGGAGAGGATGCTGCTGCTGGAGGAGGCTCAGAAGGGCTGAAGCCAGCAGAGGATATTCCCTGAAGGCGTTACCTGGGACTTAAGATGGGAACCAGAAACGTTTGACCTTCTCTCATAAAACCCAAGGACACCCAGAGATGGAAGGGACCCACAAGGACCCACAGAGACCAATTATTGTCCCTGCACCCAAGAATTCCATTCTGTGTCCCTGTCCTGATACCCAGCAGGGAGCAGGTGCTGCCCAGTTCCCCCAGTTCCTCCCCCAGCCTTTGGCCCAGCCTCAAAGGGTCACCCTGCAGAGCTCTGGCCCATCTCCATGGACAGCAGCCCCCAGGCCCCTCCCTGGACATCTCCTGGACATCCCCTCCACAGACAGCAGCCCCCAGGCCCTCCCTGAGCCCCCAGGGCTGCCATGGAGAGCCCTGTCCTGCCTCCACAGGGGGAGTCAGGCACGTCTCCCATCCCTGCTCCCTTTTCCCTGCTCCCTTTCCCACTCCCCCCTTCCCCATGAGTCACAATTCCCTGTGCTGGCCCCTTCTCCAGGAGGAGAAACGGGAGGCTTGCTCCTCACCCCCGCTCTCCAGGGCCAGGCAGTGCCTCAAAAACCCCCCTCTTCTTCCAGAGCCATGATGGGCACCAGAGCTTCCTGCTCCCCTCTCACCTGCCCACACCCATCCTGCCTCTAATTTCCCCCTTTTTAAGCCTCGGTGGTGTTTTCATCCCACTTGGCAAAGACCAGAGGGGTTGGGTGGTGGGTGTCTTTGGGGGGAGCCAGGAATGCGGGGTTGGGATTTGCAGGGCACAACAAACCCACTTGGCAAACCCTGCATCACCCCCCTCCTGGTCTGGAGCCATGAAAAACAACTTCCTGTCAATAAACAGGAACAAAAGCTTGGAAGCCTCTTCAAAGTGATGAGTTATGTCCAAAATATGTTTCGGGGCACTTTGAATGTTCCTGCAAACTGGAGGGAAGTGCTTGTTCCTGACTCTCTGGCGTTGGAGGGAGTTTATAAATACCCAGGTCTGCGTGAGTTCCTTTTGCCATGGGAAAAAAAAACACATGGAGGGAGAGGAAGAGGAGGGGAGGAAGGCCTAAGAGGGCAAAGAAATTGAAAAACAGCCCCAAAATCTGGGGAATGGGATGAATTTTAAAAGGCAGGTGTGAGGTGGGTTTGGTTTTGGGAGAGGGTCTTCTCCCCACACCTGGCCCTGGTGGTGCTGGGGCAGGGGAGGGAGGAAGAAAGGACTCCAGGAAGGGCTCAGGAAGGACTCAAGGAAGGAAGGAGGACTCCAGGAAGGACTCCAGGAAAGCCTCCAGGAAGGACTCCAAGAAGGACTCAGGAAGGACTCAAGTAAGGACTCCAGGAAGGACTCCGGGAAGGCCTCCAGGAAGGACTCAGGAAGGACTCAAGGAAGGAAGGAAGGAAGGAAGGAAGGAAGGAAGGATATGGTTCCCATTGGTTTCCCCAAGTGAAAACACGTGCTGGAACCTCAGCCAGCCATGCTTCTTGTTATTTTAATGAGAAATTCTGTAATTAGTGGCAAAAAAATAAAAAGAAGCCATGCTGCAAGTGAAGGAAAACCCCTCTCCAGTGTGTGATGGACGCTTCAAAGGGATGTGGTGTTTTTTTGGTGTTTTTTACAAACAGATATTACTTGACAGGCTGGGATGTTCCCCAATCTGTTTGCTTGAGGGAACTAAAGAGAAACACTGAAACAACAAAACAAAAAAGCAACCAAATAAAAGTGACAGGTTTTTTTACTTAAGGAGTCCTTGTCTTCCCACCTGTGATTCATTTGTCAGCAGTTAAACATCATTACAACATTAACAGCCAATCTCAGGGCAGAAGAGCTGGGCTTTGTACAGCCATAAAGTACAGGACATCAAACTGCACTTTATGGAGTCGGGGCCGCTCACGAGTGACCCCTTCTAAACTTTTACAGTTCTCTGCATTCTTCTGATTATGGTAAAGATTTATTTGAACTTTGATATATATATGTATTAAAAGAAGGGAAAAAAATGAAGGAAAGAACGAAAGGAAGGAAGGAGTGTTTTATTAAAAACATTTTGTCCAGGTTCTTTAGGAGGAGAAACAACAGCAAGAGGTTTTCAGCTGGTGGATTTTATTCAGCTACCCAAGTGGTCACGGCTGGATCTGCTTGGGTTCCTGCTCAGAAATAAACAGGAGGCTTGCATTACACCCCGCTGGCACTCTGTGCTCCCCGAGCCTGCCTGACATCCCATTGCACAACCCCTGGCAAGCTGGAGCACCAGGGAAAGGCCTGGGCAGGGTTGTTTCCCTTTGTCAGGGGGAGGAAAGATGCCTCGGTGGGTGAGTGCTGACTGACTCCCTCTCTCACCTCCTCCTCCTCCTCCCTGCTTCTTTCCCTGCAGCACCCCTTGGAGCTGCTGGTGAAGGAGTTCAGCAATTCCCCCAGAAAACAGACCCTGAAAATCTGATTTTGCCTCTCAGCTCGCTGCAGAGAGCACGGGGCTGATGACTGCCCGCTGCTCTGCAGCCCCAGCAGGGATGGGAGAGGCACTGAGGGGGTGCTGCAAGCTGAACTGGGCAGCCAGGACACAGGAAAACACCTCAGGTTTTCCTCCTCTTTTCCGGGATCCCCCTTGTGCAGCTGCCACGCCTGGCTTGGCTCAGAGGGCTGCACTTCAGCACTCAGCCTGTAGGGAAAATCCCAGCGCTTCATGGAATATCACCTGCTAGGCAGCACTATTCCATAAAAATGGGGGCTTTTCCTGGCTGTAAATGATGGGATTTTACACACTCACTCACAGAAATGCACCTGTGATGGATGTCTGCACATACAAGGGGTTTTGCAGAAATGCAAGGGTGGGATGGGATGGGATGGGATGGGATGGGATGGGATGGGATGGGATGGGATGGGATGGTTCAGTATCTGCTCCAATCCTGGTTTAGGCATGGCAAGATCTCAGCCTCATGATGCCCAAGGGTGTCCATCGATCATGTTGCTCCCTATGCTGTTTTTTTTTGGAAAACACCCTCTGAGCAGGGAGCTGGATTTAGGGACAGATACAAGAGCCATAAATCCCAGGAAGCCCCCAGATCAGAGCAATGGGCTTTTTGGAGATTGTACACAGTGGAGAAGTGCTGATGAGACAGATTTTTCCTAGGAAACTTGCCACTTCACAGAGTTGCTGTTTCCCATGGGGAAGAAATGTGCTGAAAACTTACAGTGTTCTTCTTTTATGTCTTTTTTTCTTCTCCCTATTTTATTTTGGTAGGTTGAGGGGAGACAAACCTGAAATGAAACACTTCATTTTGGTCAGTTTAAGCTGATAGGGGGAATATTTCATTCTTTTGATTGGATGGGTTTCAAATCCATTCAGAATATGCTTCAGCTTTGCTTAGGGAAAGTGCAGCTCCATCTCTTCTCCTTTATTGTGGATCTGCTCTTGGGGGGACCTCCATGCCCACGAGGCAAAGAGCAACTTTTGTGCTGGCCAGGCCCATGGGAATGGAGTTGATCCAAGGGCATGGCTGCACATTCCAAAGAACAGGGAGGTTGAGAGCAGCCCTGATAATCCATAGTTCCTCTCCAGAGCTACAGGAAGGAGAATGAGAAAAAGAGAAACTCTCTGGAGATCCTTGTCCCGAGCCCCTCCCTGCTGCCAGCCTTCAGCAAAGCACACAGGGTAATTGATTTAACACAAAGACCTGAAAATAAGTATTTTGCAATAGTTTCTGCTCCTTTTCAGGTTTCCAGCATTTCAAATCATCTTTATGTCACATCAGTTCAAACATATCTATAGAAAATATTGGGGTTTTTTACTCAACAAGTGTCCTGGAGCCTCATTTGGAATTTCAAGTTGTCCCAGCCTTCCTTCCCTCCAGCTGAAGTCTGTGGCTGAGATAGAAAGACAAAGAAGAGCTGGGTTGAGCCATCAGTTGCTGATGTTTTCATGCTGAAGAGCTCAGTGATCACTACTGGTTGTTTTTTTTTTTCCTGTTTGTTGGCCAGCTCCCTCCAAATTTCTCTGGTTGCTTTCTCCAGAATGGTTCTGTTTTCCTCAGTAAAATTTAAAGCACAGATCAAACAGAGCAGGTTGTCTTGTTTTTCTGTTCACATTTCTCAGGAAAAACCCCCTAAACTGCTGTGTTTTGAAATGGTATTACCTTATCCTAAAAGTGCTGAAACCCAATCTGTTATCAAAAGCAGCATTCTCCTGGGATTTTGGGATTTTTTTATTTTTTTTTTTCAGTCCAAATGCTACAAATGATGCTGGCTAAAGCAAAATAAAATAACAAAATAGGGAGTCATGAGGTTTTACTGGGACAGACTGGGGAATGTGGCCTTGTTTCATCCAGGATCTCTGGCCACTTCTGCAGCTCCTGCAAGGTTCAGTGCAATTGCAGAGTGGAAAATATGATTTTCCTGCAGGAGGATCCCTGATATTCTTTCTGTGTGCATTCACAGAGCTTCTGTGCTGGCATGGGTGTCAGAGAAGGAACTGCAGATATGCATCTCCCCTGGATTTTTTACTTCATGAATTTTCTGGGAGAAATGCAGGAATTGCTGTCCCACAGCAGGTGGGAGATGTCCTGTCCACGCTCATGGACTCTGCAATAAACCCCCCAAAGACACAGCAAACCTGGTTTGAGCATTTGCTCTTGTCTGAACCTTGGCAAACGCTCCTGCAAACCTGCTCCAAGTGCAGAGTAACCTCTGTGAGGGAAGATTTATTGCTCTGGACCCAAACCAGGCAGCATTTCATCGTTTTGGAGCCCCACACTCCGGGCTGGGTGAGCTGTTAGGTCCTGATGTTCAGCCCACGGGCTGGAAGGAACCTCCAGATGACATCTGCTCTGCCCTCCCCGCTCCAGGTCTCAGGTGTGGCTTCTCCAGAGGTTTCTCCTCAGGCTGGAGTTCCCCTCCTTCCTTCTGACTCCTTGATGGGCCTTTCCTCTCTTCCTGTAATGTTCCTAGCAGTCGTGCAACAAAGAATTCCCCAAATCCAGAGGTTTTGGTGTGTTTACTGTGAGCTGGATGGGAGCCCCGATGACTCTGATGCATTCAAAAGACCAGGGGAAACAAGGAATAACAGGATCCGTTGCCATAACAGAGGATGATCCAACTCCTTCAGCCCTAAAAATAGCTTCTCCCTGTTAACCTCTCTGTGGGAAGGAAGGACTCCAGGAAGGAAGGACTCCAGGAAGGAAAGAAGGACTCCAGGAAGGACTCCAGGAAGGAAGGACTCCAGGAAGGAAGGACTCCAGGAAGGAAGGAAGGAAGGAAGGAAGGAAGGAAGGAAGGAAGGAAGGAAGGAAGGAAGGAAGGAAACCTGGCAGTTCCAGGAGCTGGAATGATGAGTGGAAGAAGAGGTTTGCTGTTAAATATCTGGGATGAGGTTTGGCAAGACCCAGTTCCACCCTTGGCTTTTCCCATGCTCCTCATGGACTGATCCTTTCTGTTCCTGGTTCCTTCTGGCTTCTTCCTCCCTTAAACATCCGAGGGAAAAGACTATTCCCAAAATGTTCTTCCAAAGGGTGGAGTTACCCCAGTCTTGCTGGCCTTGGAAGCAGAAGTCCAAGGAAACACTTTTGAAGACCTCTGACCCCACAGCCTGTCTGGCCTCATGCCCTGTGCAACAGTCACCACCAGTCATTCTCAATAGTTGGGAAATAGTTGGGATTTCCCTCCTGGAATTTCCCAGTAAAACCAAGGACTGACCCCAAGCTGTCGTGCTGTGTCCTTGCTCTGCAGCTGGAATTTGGTGGTATTCCCTTTTTTTCCCCCACTGACAAAACACACCAAGTTGTGGAGGAAGGGGAGACCTCGATGGATGAAAGGCCTCCCCAAATTCCCAATTCTGGAAAAGGGCTGCTTTGTTCTGAGCCTTTCCAGGGGTGTTCTGGCTGAGGATTTGCTGTGCCAGAGATCCTATAAGAAATCCCAGGAACTGGTTGCCAAGGCCTGGATAGCTTCCACTTCTCCCCTGGGCAGCAGGATGCTAATTGCCCTCTCCTAATGATGTCTGCAGGCTGAGGAGCTCATGAGGGGCAGCTCTGGGAGAAGCCACAGCTCCATTCCTGTGCTTTAACATGGAACTCAGGAGATTTGTGTGTTTTAAACAACCCAAACCAGAGCACATGGAGCAGGGCTGGGGTCTCTGCCCACTTCTTTTGGATATATCTGCTAAAGATCTCATCAATTCCGGTTCCTGAAGTTCATACCACAGCACAGCCAACCCAAAGCCATGGAAAATACAATTTATTTGGAGAGTGAAAAAGGCCTCTGGATCTGCAGCTGCTATAAACTCACAGGAGACTTTTTTTAAACAATAAGTGGGAAAGTCTCATTAATTTTTCCTGCCAGTTTCTGAGCTTTTGGGGTATTCCAGCATCTGCCTCTGTGAAGATTAGAAACCTTGTTTCTGTGAAGGCTGGGATCCTTTCCCAGCAATAAAAGACAGAGGTTATTTTTAGTGGAGGGCTGAACTTAGCAGGGTCACGAGAAAATGGGAGATAGACGGGAAATATTGGTTAAACAGTCATTATGGGAAACCCCTGGGAGATGAACCTGCACTTATTCCCTAGGTCTGCCTATCCCTGCTCTCCATAGGTTTCAGTGCCATGGATTTGGTGTCTGTGTGGAGCTGGGGGGGGATTACCTTGTCCTTGGATCTGTCCACTGTGAGAAAGGGTCATCAGAAAGTCAAGGAATCACCAACCACTGCTGCTCTGTCCCCTTCCTCTCCTTGTGAAGGACTCCCAGACTTCTCCAATCTCCTTCCAAGAGGAAGCTGATGGGTGCTAAATAGATTTATGGAAGAGAACAACACTCCAAACACTCTGATATTGCTGTTTCTGCTCATCCACCATGCTTTCAGCATTTTAAACAGGAGCAGTCTTAGTACAAAGCTGAAAATTCCGCTTTTAATTTGGGAAGAAAACTTTGATTTCACTGTTTTGCATCAAAATCCCTATGGAATTCTCACTCTGTCAAGTTGAGGGGTGATGATAAATTGCAAGTGGCAGAGCTGGAGATCAAACAGGGGAACTCCTGGTTCCCTTTGCTTGAGCAGGACCATGAGAGCAGTTCCTGGAATGCTGTTCCCACAGACCCTTGGGCACGTGCAGGTGCTGATTGTCGCACTCTGAAGGACCAGGAGGCCACCTGGGAGGCATGGTCTGGCCACAGCTGCTGAGACTGGGAAATCCACATCCCCTCCTCCACTGGCAGCAGGCTGGCGCACTGACATAGGAGGAGACACTCAGGTAGGCACTGGCAGAGGCCACAGCACATCCACAGCTCCCCAGGGTTTGGCTCCGAGATGGGAGCTTGCTAAAAACCACGAGCTCTGCCAGGAAACAGCTGCCTTCGTTCATTCTCTCTCTGTTTATTGAGCTCATTTCCCGGGCATCTCCTCTTGACAGCTGTAACAATGGGAATCTGCCTCTGGATCATTGTTAGCACAGAGGGTGTCCCAGCATGGGTGGTTTGAGTTTTCTTTGATGAAAATTGAGGCAGTGCTGTTGGATAACATTGACCTGCAGTGTGCTCAGGTGTGAATCTCCTGGTCTGGAGGCACAGGGAACTGTTGTATTCACGGGACCCTTGTGGAAGGAAGAAATGATGCATCTGACTCCATGTTCTCAGAAGGCTAATTTATTACTTTATAATACTATATTATATTAAAGAATACTATACCATACTATACTATACCAAAGAATACAAAAAGGATACTTACAGAAGGTTAAAAATATAACAATGGAAACTCGTGACTCTCTCCAGAGTTCTGACACAGCTTGGCCCTGATTGGCCAAAGAATGAAAACAACTCACAGCAGAATCCAATGGAACAATCTCCAAACACATTCCACATGAGCACAACACAGGAGAAGCAAACGAGATAAGAATTGTTTTCCTTCTTCTCTGAGGCTTCTCACCTTACCAGGAGAAAAATCCTGGGCAAAGGGATTTTTCTGAGAATGTGAATGCCACAGGGAACACCTCCACTGAGCATGGAGCTGGAGCTGGATATTCCAGGCAGGAACTCCTGGGCTAGAATATAACCCCAGGGAAGCAGAGGGATGTTGTGGCATCTTAACTCCTTTTTGCCAGGGTTGTGATTAAATGTGCGAGATGAAATTTCTTGTTGGAACTCAGATGTTTGTTAGCTCTTATCTCTGTTACAGTCTCACAAATCGTGAGTTCTACAGCACTCAACTCCAATGAACTACAAACTAAAAATCTATCTCTGTACAAGGCCTTTTAAGAATAAACTGTCCAGTTAAGAAATGACACCTAAATTATTTTCAATTTTAACCCAATAACCAACCACAATTGGTGGCCTGCAATGGGGACTTTTTATTTAATTATCCAAAACTACCCAAACCCATGGAGAAGAATGTGAAGAAGAAGGAGCAGCCTCCAGCCTAAAACCTCCATCTTGCTGTATATATGTTACTATATTCTAAAACCTTAAACTCTAATTTCCCACCCTGTGTGATATTACACACTTCTATTCAAACTCCACACCCATCATTTTAGTTCTATTATTCAATTTTGGAAGCCTTCTCCATGCCTCAGGTCAAATGCAGTGTTCTCTTGGGGGTCAGTGCCTGTCAGCACACAAAGTCTAAAATTCCCAGCAGCCAGGGTTCCAAGAGGATGTCTAATTTGGGTGTTCATCAACCACTCCATCTCTGCCCTGGTGGTTTGAGTCTGTGTTGGTTGTGGCTTCCCTCGTTGGAGCTCCGTGGTGTGGAACCGCCCCCGCGTCCCTCCGGCCGGGAGGGCCTGGCTGACCCCTCTGCCCGTGCTGGGAACCCCACGGGGCTCCTGCAAAGTCAGGAAATCTCTGCCACCACAACACAGACAAACCACATCCATGTCTGTCCGCGGCTCTTTCCAGAACTCCTGGATTCCACTTGCAAATTACAAAAAAAAACCAAACCAGTTTGGGTTGTTTAGTAACACCGGAAAACCCTCCGTGAGTGGGAGTGAGTCCTCCAGGACCAGACATGGACATTGGGAATGCTCCATGGTAGGAGCAATTACCCCATTGCAACAGGCTTTTCCCACTTACCTTCAAAGCCAAGTTGGGCTCCAATATATCCAATGCTGTGGCATGGAATAATGTGTGCTTGGGAAAGCCGGGCGATAGTTGGCTGAAGAAAAGAAAAATATCTTTCAGATATTTTATAATCCAAAAAACGTGGTCTCCAATGAGCTTTTCCAAGCACATTAGTGCTACAGCCATTAATAATCATAGGGCTCAAAGAAGGAAAAAAAAATCAGCTGGAAGAGAGTTGAAAAGGAAACCTATTAAAATAAAAAAAGCAATTTCCCAAAAATATATACAGCTTCATTTCCAATTTTTTTCTGGGTTTTTTGGTGTTTTTTTTTTTTTTAGGGTTTTTTTTGAGTTATTTTTTGCTGTAACTAAAACTTTCAATGACCTAATAGTCCTTTAAAAAGACAGCTGCAGGGAATAAAATGGGGCTGTTTTGTTCCTCTTGCATTGTTCCTAACAGCGGGACCCATTCCTCCTTGTCCTGATTGAATGCTTCCCAGAGTGTCTAGACATGTTACCACCACTGCTGAGGAGCCAGAAGGTACCAGGGCTCATCCCAGGAGCTGGGAAGGCCCCTTATCTGTCCTCCTCCCCATGGAGACTCTCTCCAAACCCAAGACTTGGGTGAAAACCCAGATTATGCGATTCCTAAAAATATCTCCTGCGTTGTTCATTTTTAGATTGTGCTGGGGTCATATTTTCCATGTTTTCGGCAGCGGGAAGCCCAGATTCCTGCCAGACAACACAACTTCCAGAGCAGGGATTTAGAGGGCAGCACCCAGCTCCCCACGCCTGATGACCACAGAGCAGAAGGTCACAGGAAGAGCTGTCCCATCCTTCCCCAGCCGCTCACATTCCTGCAGCCTGGGACAGCTTTCCCTGCCTTCCAGGGAGGCTCCAGCTGCACCTACCTGGCCCTCCAGGTAGGTGCACCTGGAGACCTGCATCTGACACTGCAGATGTTCCCAATATTTACCCTTTGTGAGATGTTTCACCCCAGTTTCCGCTGCATTGTCCAACTCTCACTTCGCAGCCGCTCCTGGAATGTCTCCGGCCAAGATGAAGTGCTGGTCCAGTCTTCTCCTTCCTGCCAAAGGTTGTTAGCACATCCATCCCACAGCTCATAGCTCATCTCCAGTCACGCCCTTGGATCCCAGAAATCCTGTGTGCTAAGGACAGGAAGGCTCTTGCCGGCAATCCCGAGAGCACTTGAGGCAGTAGGAGCACTTCCCAAATAAAAAATAGCAGGGACAATAATAGCCCTTATCCCTGCATCCCCCCTCTGAAGCACCAGGACTTGGCCAGAGCCTGTCATCTGTCAATTACAATCTATTTCTGTCTTGTGCAGAAGGATCTGGCCAGGATTCCTGGGATTGGGCTGCTAGCATGACTCATTCCCAGCTGATTGCTCTGTGGCTTCAGCCAGGTGCTCCTGGGACTTGGTGTCCTCATCTGGTGTCCATAAGGAATCAATGCTTCAGGGGCAGGAGGGAGAAAGGGAACGGTGGTGAGGAGCACATCCCTCAGAGTCCTCTGCCCAGAAATCGTCCTGTGTGGAGGCTCAGAGGTATTCCAGAGGTAAGGATAGGAAAGACAAGGATGAAAGTCCTCAGTGTGGGTTTCTGTTGCGCTGAGGGAAAGATGGGGTCACAAAACCCTCAGGAATCAAATCTCAGGGATCCACAAGATTCCTTGAGGGATTTCTTGTGGATCCAATCTCAAGGATCCACAAGATTCCTTGAGGGTTTTCTTGTGGACTCATCTCAAGGATCCATCCACAAGATTCCTTGAAGGATTTCTTGTGGACCCAAGAGCCAGAGGAAGGATGAGATGGAGGAACAACATCCATGGCAGGGTCTGGATGATGAGGTTGGCTCTAGAGTTGCAGGATTCACTATGGGAGGGCTCAAAGCCCTTCCTCAGGAAGCACATGACTGGGAAGTAGGGCCTTTCTCAGCCCTAAGGATGATCCCTGAGGAATGCCCAGGAGCAAAGGCCTGCACCTGTGTCCATGAGGCCCCTGTATGTCCATGTTCACCAGAGGCATCACTAACATCCATGGGCTCCTCTCCAGAGCAGAAATGCTGGCTCCTGCTGCCTGTGATCTTCTGGGCCTGGAAGAGCAGATCCATGAGTGTAAAAAGGGAGGGAAAAGTCCCTTTAACATGCAAGGGCTGAGAGGAACTCCGGGTGAGAGCTCCAGCCCAGGACTCTCCCTCAGGGGCACCAAAGGGGGATATTCTCTCCCTCAGGGGCGCCAAAGGAGGAGGGATGTTCTCCCCCATTAAACACGATGTCAGTGGCATCCCAGTCCCATTGGTGTCCAACACGCTGTGTTTTCCAGCACAGCCTGGAGCAGAGGGCTTGGGAATGCAGCCCAGGCCGGGCTGGCTCAAGCTGCATCCCAAAACCAGCAGCGTTTTCCAAATTCTGTGGTCATTCCCAGCTCACGGAGAGCCATCAGCAGGATTTTGCAAGAAATGAGTCCTGGATAATCCTTGCAGAGGTTGTTATCCCATAGGTGGTGGGGGCAGAGGGCTGGTGGGTGGCATGGGGGATGGAAAACGGGGAAACCTTCTCTGGCGCCCCTTCAAACTCAGTTCCTTTCATTTCTTTTTTACACACAAAATAGATGCTGCAGGTGGCAAGGAGAGGAGGCCTGTAGAGGGGGAAGCACGATCCCCAAAAAAAACCCAAAAAACAAAAAGTTGTGCTGGTGTTGGTGTGCAAAAGGCAAAGCTGAAGGTGAGCTGAGATCACGGTGCAGAGCTCCGGGCAGGCAGGGGAATGAAATGTGGTCCTAATTACTCGCTAACTATCCCACATTTCACAAGTCATTTTAATGGCCCAAATGGATTCCTTTCAACTGGGAGCTAGTGCTGGAGCGATAGGGATAGAGTTCTCTCGCAGGGGGACATGTGGTGCCAGAAGCCTGCTCTGAGAGGAATATTGTTATCTGGAATGACATTAATACATCCTGTTATTCCCTCACGCCGGATCATGTGCCGGGAAGGGACCGTGCTGTTAAAATGTCAGCATTCAGGCAGCATCTCGGCACAGTAGCTGGTGCTGAGGGGTCAGGCAGGCAGCCCTGGGAGTAATCCCTATTGCCCTGGGCAAATTCAGACCCTTCCCAGGAGCTGGATGCTCCATTCTGCTCCACCCACCTGTGCTGTGCTTCCAGGTGATCTGGAGAAGGGATGGGTGACACTGAATGCTGGTTTGGTCCAGGGTTTTTTTTTCCTCCAGTGTAATTCCTCTGCACCCAGCAAAATGCTGCTCGGTGGATAATGACAGCTCTCACAGGAGATCAGTGCTGCTTTTCCATAGCCTCTGGACACCTCACAGTAATTGGAAACAAGCTATGGAAAGCTCAGTAAAGGTGGCTGCTGAAACTCACCACATGCCTTTAAAAAACAGAATATTCTTCCTTCCCCTTCCCCTTAGGTTTTATTGGACTTCAAGTGGGGAGCTGTTAAATTGTGTGGATGTTCTTCCAACCTCACCTGCCCAATGAGTGCCTCTGCTCTGCTCTTGTGGCTTGGCTGCTGAGGAAATAAACCAGAAAAGGGAAAGGAAACATCAGCTTTGGGTTTTCCTAATTGTGGGGAAAAAAAACCCACAACAAAATGAAACAAATCCCTTGTTTATTATGCAGAGCACTGGTGTATGGGGAAGTTAAAGGTGTGGTGGTCTCTACTACTCAGTTACATGGCTGCTCTACAGAAAAAATTGGGATTTTAGGGTTTTTCCAAGCAGGACAGAAAATTTTTTAGCCCCTGTCATTGCCTTAGTTTCTCACAAGTAAATTCATGCCTGGTGAGACCCTGGGGTTGCAGTAGAGAAGGATTTGTCCCCTGGAAGGCTCCAGGCCAGATGCGGCTGTTCCAATGCCATAAGTGGGAGAACAAGCCTGGTTCCCCTCTGGAAGATCATTCCACAACGCCAAGGGCTCTGTTCTCTGCTCTGATGTGAGTACCTGACACACTGTCGGTGCAGATGACCTCATATCCCCCTCCCCACTCCCTTCTCCTGCTTTTCCACTCCATCTCCTCGGCCTGGCTTGGCTGGTGTCTCCCAGTGCCGTTTGTCCGGAGCTGGATGAGCACATGGATGTTGGGAGGGAGTTGTGCTGACACCCCTGCTTGGCCAGCACAGCCCAGCACGTGCTGAATCCATCCCTCCCCTGAGCAGCAGCTTTTAACACATCACACTTGAAGCTTTGCTCTGAATTTCCAAGCCTAAAAGGCGACATGGAAGGAGAAGCACCAACTCTTTTTCCGCCATGGAACGGTTTGGGTTGGAATCGACCTTTAAAGCTCATGAAGCCACAAGCAGGGACACCTTCAATTAGATTTGTTAATGCCTCATTTTCCTTGCCCATAAGTGGGATAAACTGGCATGTTTTCAGTCCCAGCCTGCCTGAACACAGGAGGTTTAGGGCAGGTCTGTGTCGCTGTTCCGAGCGCGCTGCTCAGCGCTGGGCCTTGGCCGGGCTCACTTCCACTGCTCACTGTGATTATCCAAGATAAATCTGGGACATGTTGGGATCCAGCTCACAGGGAACTCGCCTGGGCCCTCCTGAGGGAGTTTGTTGTTTCATTTGGGTCTCCTCATCCATTCCTGAGCTCTGATTGTCAACACTCTGCAGAGGGATGGAGGCAGCTCCTGGCTGGGGAATAATGGCTTCATTTGGGAGTGGAAACCAGCTTAATTTTGGGAAGCATTACCCTGGCTCTACTCAGGGACACAGGTTCATATTAAATGACAGTCCATCCTGCACTGCACCACCTCCATTGCACCCTACAGCTGTGCCAAAGTGCTCCCCTGCTCCCAAATCCCACAGCAACAACTTTTCCACCCAGGGCAGGAAAATTTACTGCCGCCAAGGAGAAGCACCACGTATCCACCTCCTTTCAGCCCCCACGCTTCCAAGGGAGCTCCTGCCCCATCCTGGGGACAAGATGTGTCTCCCACCACCTTCCAGCCAAGGCTGTCTCCCTTGCTCATGAGCTTCATCAAGGAATCATCAGGATCAGAGAGCTCTCCCAGTGGCCAAATTTGAACTCCCAAGTGGAAAACTCAATAAAATCATGTGTTCCTCGACAGATGTGCTGACAGAATCCATGTTGGATCAAATTTCTCCTCAGGACCCTGCCTATCAGAGAGATTGTTTCTGGGGAGAAAAACCAGTTCAAGGACATCCCAATGAAACAAAATGGATTCTTGACCAGCTTGGAGCCAAAGTCAGGTGGATGAGTTTGAGTCAGACCTCACTGCACAAGAAGAGGTTCACTTTTCTGAAAATCTGCTCTCAGATTCCAGACCAAGGAGAGGAAAGCTCTGGGATTCATTTGCCAAAGATTTCTTGCAAAACTACCAAGGAACTGAATGTGCAGCAAACCATATGTCCCCTGTAGAGCTCATGTGTGTGAAGGGTTCCCAAGCCAAATTAAATTGAGATGTTCTCCAAAAGCCCAACCAAAATGATGGAAAAGGTACCACGAGATGCAGCTCAACAGGGTGTTCAGCTAACAGACTGAATTGTTCCTGTCCAAGCCCAGGGGCTCTTTGCTGAGGGTTCATAAATGCTAATCTGTGAAAAAGTTTAAAGATTAACGTCAGATTCGTGGATTTATGGGAGGCTGTGATGGAAATGATTGCTAGGCCTCAGAAAAGACTGAACAGAAAACAGCCTTCCAGCCTCTGATGCTATTTTTGAGAATAAATCAACAGCAAAAAAAAAAATCGTATTCTGATGTGGTATCAATGTCAAGTTGAATTCAAATTTGACCCAAACTACCAGCTGAAATCTACAGGGGGGAAAAAAGCCTCTTTCAGATCAATTCTGTTGCTTCATCTAATTTTTTTAAACATCTCCTCCAGTAAAAATAAAATTATCTCACATTCTAAAGACACCAAGGAAGAATTATTTTAAAAAATTAATTTTTAGATTAAATTTTAAATTAAAAATAGAACATCTCAGCAGTTTGGAAGCAGTAAATGCCAGGTGTCCAGAGCCCCTCTTTAAAAATCTTTCATGGAAAGCAGTTTCATTTTTAGCAAATCTGTTAAGAACAAGCAGGCAATGCTTCCTGGAGGAGACAAAAAATAAGTATTTCTTCAATATTTCTCAATCCACGACCTGTTTTCCTGCTACTCTGGTGTGAAGCCTCCTCTCCATCAG